GGAAGGACCGTCGGGCCTTCCTTTAGCTGCGACCAATTAACTCTAGAATGATGATCATAATTTTCAAACATTACCGCGCGTTTCTACGAGTGCGTCGAAGAGCGAAAACATTCTCGCAAATCTTTTGATCAATTTCCGCATATTATCATGTGGATAATTTTGATAATATTATATTTCGACGGGGAATACCCGGGAGTGTGAAACATCGAGAAATTTGAGGCTATTGAGAGAGGGAGGGGGAGAGGGGGCAGGAGGTTTCTGATTCGATACATTTCAACGTGCTGTACTTGATACATTTTATGCGCATTATGCGCGCGATCATATTTTACAAGTCGTCGAATTACGCTTACGATTTCCGACGCATTGCCGCGCTGCAGCGCGAAATAATTGTCGCGCGCAATTTCACGCCCGACACCCGTCTTTTGCGTACGTATCGCGGAATTCGCGAGAATAACCCGACGGTACACGTGCAATTATACCACTTTGCAAATTAGGAGTAAGCGCGGTCCTGAAGGAACACGGGCGAGCGCGCGCTCGAAGAAAATGAATCGGAAACGAATAGCAACATCGGGAAAAGCAATTCGCACGCTCTCGCGCATCGACTTTGATGCGGATTTAATTAATCTACGCCCGAAGAGCTTAGAGCCGCTGTGCGCGAGCAGCGTCAAACGAGCTTAACACAGGAGCGTTCTCCATGCGAAAATCCAGCGGCGATATCTCCTCGGCGATATCTCCCTTCCCATTCCGACTCCCAAGGCTGTGCCCGAAAAGAAGGAAAACAACGAAAAGGGAAAATCGCGCGAGGTAAAAAATCGAAAAGGGGAGTGGAAAAGAGAGAGGAAAAGAGACGCGGTAGGAGAGGGGAAAAGCGGCAAGAGAGGAGGACTGGCGAACCAGAGCGAAATGCCACGCCGTCGGCAAAAAAAAAATAAAAGGACAAAGAGGGCGGCGCACGGCGGTATAGAAAAAAGAGAGAAGCGCCGGGCATCGTCGATTGATTGGCACGCTGACGTGCGTGGCCACGATGGATGACGCTTTATTTTCCACGATACACCCGATTATGGATTGAAAAGCGGCCATAAATCCTCGTGAATACTTTACAGGTACGTTCCGGCAGGTAGAACGGAGGTTGGGGAGAAAATTTCATCGCGGCGTTGCGCCATCACGAGCGAGAAAGAGAAGGAAAGATGAGACAGACAAAGAGAGAGAGAGAACGAGCACGATGAGGAAGAAGAGGAGGTGAATGAGGGACGAGAGACGAATAGCAGGAGGGAGAGGGAGGGTATGGAGGCAAGGGGTGACGGTTAAAGCGAAGAGGAGAGGAAAGAGGAGAAAGGCTGGCTCGGGCCAGCCACGAGGTGTTGGCGTAGGATGTTACGGTGGATGCCCGAAAATTGAATTTGCCGCTGAACGCGGAGCGTTTGATTAAGTGCTTTCGTCAGGGACCCGGGCGTATCGTGCCCGATAACGTTATCGTTCTCGATTTGCCGGCGATTTTTGATCGTTTCCACGCGGCAATCCGCCGTCCGTCCGGCATTCGCACGTCATCGCTGCTACGGCAGCGGTGATTCTCCCGCGTTTTCGCTCAGGAAAACCGTCTCACCCAACCGTCCATGCGATTGCGCTCACGGACGAGGTCGAAAAAAAGAAAAGAAACAAATAAATATCTCGATCACTTTCCCGAAAAATGCTCAGGAAGGAACGCGAATTTTCACGTGTCACCGCGAGATCCGAAGCCTTTTCAGCGAGCGAAAAGTGAGGCAAATTTTCGGATCGACAAGCAGAACAAGCAGACGAAGCGCAAGTCTGACCGCATTTGACGGTCGCGTCTAATTGCACAAGTGTGCGTTCGACGAGAAGCTGACGCGCAAACACGCGCCTTTCCAGCGCGCAGCGCTAGGGAGACCGCTTAAACAATTCTTTTTTTCTTTCCTGTCGGGACCACGAATCTACCCTACGATCACTCGTAAAAAACGTCAGGACTAGGTCCGCAAAATCCGCGTTGAATATTTCACGGATTAATAGACACACACACACACACGCACGCACGCACACGCACGCACACACACACACACACACACACACATGTATGTATGTCTCTCTTTTTTTTCTAGTGTCCGAATTGGCGATTCAAGCGATGTACTGAGGGTGAAAAAGGCGGATGCGTCCGAGTGGCCGGGTATGCGTGCCTCTCGTGTACACTGCCGCGCGCATCGCCGATAAACGCGACTCACGGTGTCGAGTACCAGTCGGCAAATTCGTAGACCCTTCAGCTAGCTATATCGAGTATTAATATTCGCGATAAATTTACCGACTCTTGCGCGATTGCGAGAATCAACGAAATAGAATCGAGCACAATTCTATTTTGCAGGATTTTTGCGTTTTTGTTTTTTTTTTTTTCGCCACGCAGCCCGCTGCGCGGAACGAGATGAACGAGGTGGTGGTGCGAATAATAACTCGTCGCAACGTCAACAAGTGGACTCGCGCTTTTCTGCGTTTCACTTTCTAATTCACGGAAATCTAAAACCAATGCGACGATGAATTTTGAGAGGAAATTCGGAGCCTAGCTGCGGACTGATCAATCCTTCGCGCTGAGTCGCGGTTGATAAAGAAGTACAAAATTCTAAGACGAAAAGAGGGAAAGAGAGAGAGAAAGAGAGAGATTATCCATTCAAATGGTAGAATTCTCGAGGTGGACGCAAAATTCAACGGGAGAGCTTAAGCTTTAATCGAAATGTGTACACGTTCGCCGCCCAATAATCCGCTCGTTTTCTTGTTCCGTTTTACTTATTTACGCGCTAACCATCGTAACGACGACTCTTTCATGAAAGTCGTTAACCGAACCATCCCAAGCATTTAAGCGGGTTTTAGCGCACCAGTACCGAAAGCGCTTCTCAAATTGCGAGAATTGATAAAACCCCGATGTATACTCGCGCGCGATTACGGTCGCGGGAAATTAGCTTGGATCGGCAAACAAAAGCCGAAGCGGTACCTGAGGCCGCATAATTTACAAAAAAGACGGAAAAAGGGGAGAAACTGAGCGCGCGCTTGAAACGAGACAAGTACAACGAGAGAGCGAGAGAGCGAGAACACAAGCAGAAGGTGGAGAGAAATGGGGAGAGACCGGGATCGGGCGCGAGAAAGAAAGGAAGAACGAGAGGGAAGCGAGCACCATAACCTCGTTGATAAAACGCCGGATACGTTCGACGTATGCGCGTAACTTCCAAAATAATGAAAAAAGCAAGAGAAATATCCTGGCCGGTTTATCCGACTCCGCTTCGATTTCGCGAGAGCGAATATTCCGCGAAAAAATATCGCCGCGCTTAATCCGCGAACGATCATAGCTACACGCCAGTCCGATAGCGTCGCATACTACATATCCTATGCAGCCGTGCCGAATTTGTTCGAAACGCGAAACGTGAAAAAAGAAAGCCAGCGACGCCCGTGCTCGAGCGCGCTACACGCATGTATAACTTAAGCGATATAATATCCCCGATCGCGCCTAAAACACCTTCACGCTGCTCCCACGAGAGGACTTTAAGGAGTTTATTCATTTCAAGCAAAATGCTGAAAATTATGCAGGAGCTTAACGTGACGTTTGTCGCGGTAAGACGCATTCGTAGTTGAAATGTCTGCACTATTCGTGGGAAATCTGGTACTGAATATCGCAATTTTGCATTTTATCTTAGCAATATAGATGAGCATTATTTACATGTAACTTCGTAAATAGTGATACCACCCACTTTATACCACATTTTGTCTCTGTTGAGTCATATAGAACGTATCGAGTATGAATTTATCTTTGTTTAACGCTGCGTAATCTTATTTATAGATTTACGCGTCAAAAATAAAGATATTTTCTAAACAAGAACGTCCTTTTCTCTCGCGACATTCAGAGCGTCTTCAACGCAAAAGTAGGAAAAATTCATCGTTATAAATGTCATATTAATTAAACGCGGCATGGAAGAAAGATTAATATTCACTACACACTGTTTTGATGTAATAGTTAATTGTAAGTCAGAAAACTACTGTTTTTATACTCCGAGCGACATTATACTGAGTGAGACGTGGTGAAATACATAGAAAAAGAAAAGTTTCATTAAATTAATCAATTTCTGGTAAAATATGAACGAATCAGAAAATTCCGACTGATATTATCGGAATTTCTAGAGTCCATTCATAATTTTCCAGAAATTTGCTTGATCTAATTAAACTGTTTTTCTCATGGTTAGTATCATGAAATTAGTTTCAAATTGACATTTATTATTTAGACACCGAAAGAAATATATAATAACGTAATTTTGTTCGTTAAATAATACATTTATGAGTAGCTTATGGTGTGCTGTTGAAAACACATACCTCTTGATTAAACTCCTCAATAAAGTGTGCGCAACTCGCCCGAGCGTTTCGCGCTTGGTTGAATCCACGAAAAATAAGCTCTTTAAAGTACAATCAGTGTATTTTTCATTGAAATATGCTATACATATAACTCATAATGATTGATAATCCTTATTATTAATAGGGTCCTTGATTACCACGCTGCGTTACATGATTTATCAGGACCCAATAACATCGCCCTGTACAAACCAGATAACTGATTGGGATCAACCTAACCAGGACTATGGGATAAATTCCTAGTCGCGATAAATCGACCAGCGACAGTTTCGTGCAAATTGAGTTTGAGTCCGATACGTTACAGTTTACTGTAATTAGACTGTCTCGTTAATGTCAACTTATCATTCCGCGATTATTTTATGTGAAATCATTTTATTTTGCTTTCATAAAATAAGAAGAATAGAATGGAGTGGAAAAGGAGAATAGTTTTTTTCCTTTCTATAGCTTTTATATATATATATATAATATATGATCAGATAGATAATAATGTCCGACGCATTGTAACGCAGATAGGGCCAGCGATAATAATAACGATAAGAATCGTTTCGTCTTCCTATTTTTCGAAACAGCACCTATACGAACTCTCTGGATCTTTTCTGTTGCAGTTCCACCGGAACAGCCAACCATTCTGGATCGATGGGGTCGCATCTTGAACGGCACAGCTGGCCCTTATGAGGAAGGCGATACACCGTATCTCACGTGTCGCGTCACGGGCGGTAAGCTCGCGCAAAATATAGTATATCAAGAGATGTGGTAGCGTTTCGCGCCAAGCGAACGCGTGAAGCGAGGGATGAGACCGGCCGCGTATACTTATGCGACTCTTCTAGAGTTGATCAGATGCAAGATTTACTAACTACCTGATATCACACATTTCGTAGAAAATAGAAGTTTTCAGCAACAACAGTAATATTTAACAGTAAGATTTGAAGAGGCAAATAAGGAGCAAACACGGATGTCTTAGTGCTATTAAATACTAATATTACTTTTATATAATATTATATTTTATATAATATTAATATGATAATGGGAGGATAATTATGTCAAACGCACGTATCGAAATTTTTCTTCGATTAACGTTCGCGGCGAGTCTACCTTTCATATTTAGACTGATCCTTGAGTCCCAATTTTATATATATATATATATATATTTAAAATTCCCAAAATCCATTAAACCGATGACTCAAATAGATTCATTATATATGTTGCGAAAAAACTGCCTCCGCCAAGACTCGAACCTGGAACCTCCCCACTTTCCGGGCGGGACGCCTTTCCATTCGGCCACCGAGGCTTCGACAGTAATCTCGCAACACAATGTTTATAAATTCTCTAAGGTATAAGTTGAGAGAAAGAAAGAAAGAGTCGATCTCGTAAGAGATGTTATACGAATATATGCTATCTCTCTCTCGAATTTTAAATATATATACTACTGTGTCCAAAAAGTAAGACCAATTTAAAATTTTTTTTTTAAATCTTTATTTATTATTCCAAATCTATTTCGTCGCCTTCAAAGTAATCCCCCTCAAACACAATACACTTATGCCAACGTTTTTTCCAACCCTCGAAACAGTTGTTAAAGTCGATTTCCGGAATGGCCTTCAAAGCTTTCTTCGATTCAGTTTGTATCTCTTCAATCGAGTCAAAACGGTGTCCCCGGAGCGATCTTTTGAGTTTAAGGAATAGCCAGAAGTCACACGGTGCTAAATCAGGTGAATATGGTGGTTGTGGAACGATATAGGTCAAATTTTTAGCGAAATGGTCTCGAAGAACCAATGCAGTGTCAGATGGCGCATTATCGTGGTGCAAAAACCAAGAGTTGTCTTTCCACAATTCCGGCTTCTTTTTGCGAATAGCTTCCAAGTCTTGACGTTTATGATGTGAAATTTGACACAGATGTCTGTCACAGTACTACCAATTTAGAAAAAAAAATATTTCTGACATTCGATATACCCGCGCAATTTAACTTGAAAATTGGTCTTACTTTTTGGACACAGTAGTATATAAAATTGGGACTCAAGGATCGGTCTAAGTATGAAAGGTAGATTCGCCGCGTACGTTAATCGAAGAAAAATTTCGATACGTGCGTTTGACATGCTGGACATAATTAACCTCCCACTATCATATTAATATTATATAAAAGTAATATTAGTATTTAATAGCACTAAGACATCCGTGCTGTACTCCTTATTTGCCTCTTCAATTCTTACTGTTAGTTATTCTAAAAAGGAGCTTTCTATAATTTCTGTTTAACAGTAATATTTGTTATTACATTTTTAGACTGTGCTACAATATGTATATATCGTGGTGTTTATCCGTCCGCCATATCTGCACATGTTCGTGAGCGACGCGCGACTCACCGCGAGAAACGAATCGATCGTTGACGAAAACGCGAGACAATCGCCGATTCGTTCGTTTTTTTTCTTTCTCCCACACGATAAAAAAGTGAAAGTACAGTAAACTACCTGACGATTGACCAACTTCTGAAAACGCGAACGGATGATTGAGACGTTCAGGAAAACAGAGGAAGAGAGAGACGAGAATACATCAGCGAGTTCTCCGCAACATCGACAGGAATAAAATGCCGCACCGGTTTCCTCGCGTGCGATCCGAAAACTCGGGGGCGAGACTCTCCCTTTCTCGTCGTACCTTTTCCTTCCGTAAGTCACACGCGGCGCATTTTGGAGAGCCTTCGCGGCGTTTGTGGCAACCTCAACCTCACCGCGAAATCGTTGGGAAACTTCGATCGTGGAGAGTGACTGAGTCGGCGGTGGCTGGCTGGCTGGCTGGCTGGTTGGTGTCGCCGGTTATTAGATCAGCCAAGTTTTTATCGGCGACCGTGGCTAAGTGAAAAGTTCCACGTTCGGTGAAACGCGACGACGACGACGACGACGACGACGACGACGGTCGCTCTCTTATCCCGCGCCAAGTGCAGAAAGTGAGAGAAGAAGAAAAAGAGGAAAAGACAGACAAACAGAGATAGATAGAGAGAGAGAGAGAGAGAGAGAGAGAGAAAGCCGGGGGGTTACTAGGCTGTCGCTTGGATCAAGCGCCGAGGGGTGGAATCGCAATGCAAGCATCCGAGTAGCGCACTCCCCGCTCTGTTTACTTTAGCAACTGGATCTAAATTTCTGTTTATAACTGCGGCAACTTCTTCGGCCGCCTTAAAAGATTATTTCCAGCCCTTCTCCCCGTTTTCGAGGTTCAAACCTCCTCGTGCCCTCCACTTCCTCGCTCTATCCTTCCGCTCTACGTCCGCGACGCTTCGCCGTTCTCTGTCTACGGGGTAGCCTCTCTCCTATGAGAGCTCTCGCCGTGATTAAGCGCCGCTTCCGCTTTCCTTTCGCCATCGTCGTCGTCGTCGTTTTCGCGGGCCGGAATATCCCGGAGGATGAAACGTCGTTAAAGATCTTAAGTCGTTGGCGGCAAAATTCGGCGAACTCGTAGCAGCCGAGCGAGCGAGCGAACGAACGAGCGGGCGCAGGTCGCGACTGCCGTTTGAATATTCATTGCCGCTCCCCTGCGCTCATCGTTACTTAATTGTTTTCTCTCAAACGCGACTTACCGCGCGACTTACTCGGACAAACGCGAGGAACGTCGCCGAGACACGAGCGGCGCGCCGCGGTACTTAATAGCCCGCTGGATTAATTCCACGATTGTGGCAACGACGAAAAATTTATTCGTTCCCGCAGAATGCACAAATATGTTGAATCGATGTAATCTGTCAACGGCGAATTCCTATCGAAACGCCCGTCCATCCATCGATGTACAGTGTTATACATCACGGCATCACCGTCCGTCCTCCTCGTTCCATCGAAAAAAAAAGGCAAAACGAATGCGTCGTAGTAAAAAGAGAACAGGCAAAAAGACAAAAAAGATACCGGAGGCTTTGTTACCGCGTGGAGGAGATGAATTCCGTTGTTAGAATCGGTCCCGTCCTCGAGCAATCATATTAGTCACCGTTGCCGAATCCAGCAACGGCGGATAACGGCCGGGCGATTCGACGCCCTTGTTCATCGCGAGCCTCGCCGATGGATATGTCGAAATATACGGGGCCGGGAATATTGCCGTATGCAGATTCGATGGGAATTCCATCCGCGGTGCGCATCGATCAGACGCACCGCGGCGTATAAATTGAATATCGAGAAGATCGGCTTATCCTTAACAATACGACGACATAGCGCTGCGCTCTGCCGAAGATCATCCTCCATCTCCTCCTCCTTCTCCCCCTCCCCTTGCCGTTCCCCCTGCTGCCCTGCTGCCGTCACGCTGACGAATCCGCCGTTTTAATTTAATTGTAAATAACGCTCGCGAGGGGAGAGAAAACGGATCCGCCGACGGACGGAATGACCATCGCAGGCACGAAACCAACGGACGAACGAACGAATGAATATCCCGGAAATTAATGCGCGCGCTCGCTAATACGGATCGTCCGCGACTCTTCCACATCCGTGGCGCGTAATTAATCGTCCTTTATTAATTGACGTGGTTTTATATCTCCCCTTCCTCATTCTCGATCGTTTGACTGCGCGACGCGAGTTTTGATATATCTCGCGAACGCGCGTTCTCGAGTCGAAATTTTGATCCTACGATCGACCTCAATATTTCATTTAGCGTCCGCTTTAATATTCCGAGGTTTATGTCAATCTCATTCGATTCTATAACTTACTAGCTTTGCCGAGAGATCCTCTACGAGTGGCATTTCGTGCGTTCTCTGCTATTTAGAGATGTTAAGTAGAATTTCAGTTTCCGTATGTATTACATATATACTAATCCTTCAAAATATAGGAGAGACCGGGTTTAGATGACCCCAGAAGTATGTTGCCCACGTACTTTTTCTTGAGTATTTATCTTGAAAGAAACAGTGGATATAAAATCGCGAAATGGTTCTCTTTTAGAACATAGGTACTTTTCCCCGAGTTTCATTAAAAGCGGAATAATATTACAGTTAAAAAATAGAAAAAACTGATTTAGTAATAGCAAAGTCAATTTTCGAGTCTCTCGAAATTTTCTATTAATATTCTTCGTCGTGAGTGAATAAAGTTAAGCGACGTGTTACCGGCAGAAAGAAGCATTTTGCAAGTGCATGATATACTCTGTTCCGGATAATAAAAACAATTTTCATTTATAAAACGATTCAAATCGAGCATATGGGCGAACGAAGTAAAGTTGGCCCATAATTAAGAGCCAGCAAGAGAGCTGTGGAGATCACGGAACTACTAATCAAGATACATATTTTGTCTTCTTACTCTGCAAATGAACTCAATATCAAATGAACACGTTATGTACACTCGTGGTTTGAAAGATTTGTGCACCGATTTTTTGTAGATTTCGGAACGCGTACCAACTTCAGGAGAGAGACAACCAGTGCTTGACACGCCAGCGCCGCCACTTATTACGAGAGCAGAAGGATAGCATATACGGTATATGCCATCCTTCTGCTCTCGTAATAAGTGACGGCGCTGGCATGTCAAGCACTGGTTGTCTCTCTCCTGAAGTTGGCACGCGTTCCGAAATCTACAAAAAATCGGTGCACAAACCTTTCAGACCACGAATGTACGTTTGTATTTTGGTTATTACAGAACAAAATATACAGTCAACTTGATCGCATTAACATATAAAAGAAAGCTGCCTCTATCGCGTTTGCACATCCAATGACACTAATTAATTGTCTGAGAAGTTGTAACCTCGAAATTCTGAAATATGGGACATCTAGCCCCGA